CGTGTTGCTCTTTGGTAATCAGCTCACTCCCACGTCAGTCTCTTCTACTAGTTGAGATGCCCTCAGGTATCAGCGGGACAGCGGGTTAAAATGGCTTAACCCACGGGAAAAACGTATGTCCTCTTTCAGGAGTCCACAAGAAGGAAGTCAGGGCGTGGACGCGGCAGTTCCTACAGTCCCATGGACCACGCCTGTTCCCTGTTTCTTCCATGACTTCCTCAGCACCCTGACTTGGTTTTTCTCCAGCCCAGTCACAGCAGGTGTCTCCCGAAGTGGGGTTGCCTACACTCACATGTGACCATATATTCACTCTCTCACTTTCAAATAATCTGGTTCTCACCTGTGCACCTTTACTTATGCCTTTGCTTTGAATTCTTATCTCTGTGGGGACAAGAACTCGGAATAAAATCAAGATACATATTCCCATAATATTTTCACTTTTTCTGCTCCGTTCAGACACGAGTACATTAGGTACACCCGCCTGTCTTCCTGTGCTGGGCACAGTTTTATCCCATTCACTTCTGAGGCCACTGGCTCATCTCCATTTCCCTCTACATGTGGACCACTCACAGGAAGACTACAGGTCCGAGAAGGCAGTTGACTCCAATGGTACATCCTCCTCTTGAGGTCCCTTCATTTCCTTTCACTGCAGCCATAAATTAAAATGATTGTTTATAATTTAGCATTTTTAAATTTACGCTGTAATGGGAAAGCTTTCTCTGAAAATCTAGCTCACTACGTTGCTGGGTAAAAAAGTTTTTATCTGGGACCAGCATTGTGATGTTGTAGGTAAAACTACCACCTGTGACGCAGGAATCCCATATGGGAACCAGTTTGTGTCCTGGCTGCTCCACTTCCAATCCAACTTGGGAAGGCACTGGAAGATGGCTCAACTGCTCAGGGCACTGCCACCCAGGCGGGAGATCTGGGAAAAGCTCCAGGCTCCTGGCTACAGCCTGGGCCAGTCTTGGCCATAGTGGCCATTTGGGGCGTGAACCAGCAGATGGACGCTCTCTCTCTCCCTCTTCCCTTCTCTCTCTCTCTCTCACCCTCTCAAATACATAAATAAGTCTTTTTTAAAAAGCCTTTATCTGATTTTTGAGCAGCAGATATACGTACACAAATAATAGCCATTTGCTACAATGCAGTTGCTCTGAGATAATAAGATAGAAGTGTATCAGTATCTTGCTGTTTTTTAAAGAACACTATGATTTCCAGGTGTTCTATGTGTGAATACATTTAAAAACCCCTGGTATATCAAAGTGATGGAAGCAACAGTTACAACTAACATCAGCAAGGCTGGTTCTTTATATTTAGGATTACCATATACGAGAATTTCACTGTCTCAACTGGGACACATTTAAGAGTTGAAGGAGTTAAGACCATACCAATCCCAAAATGCTCTAGCATTTTGATCATTGTTAATTAAAGACACTTAAAAAAAAAAAAAAAACAGCAGGTGAAAAGAGATCACTCTGGCTTTCACTGTGTTTCTTAAAAGCAGGTGACAGAATTCCCACGTGCAAGATATCCTTATACCAGAGGGAAAAAGATTCTTATCAGGTACAGAACATTGCAGCTGAGGGAAATCTTGAGCTTCCTAGTTACTTCTCTGTATTAGCTCGAGCCCCTTTGTTGTATCACATTTTACGATCCACTGTTCTGGTTTAGCAGTCAAGGTCACTTTATCTGCTGCTCTGAGACTCATTTCCTTATGAGGGTTCCTGTGTCACATAAAACTTGTAGTAAGTCTGGTTGTGTGCTTTTCTCCTGTTGACCTATTTGCATCCATTTACTTCTCAGCTCCACAAGGGACCCTAAGAGAACAGAGATGGTATGTTGCCTAGCAAAGGGTTCCTAAGAGGAAACTTGGTCAGACACACTGGGGTAGGGAGCCACCCTAGTTACAGCTTCACTTTTAAAGCATTAAATTTGCAGCACTGCAAAGAACTGACCGTGTCCCTGCAAAATCTGTATCTTGAAATTCTAACTCCTAATTTAATGTTAGGAGATAGAGATTATGTGGGTTAATGAGGTCATGAGACTGAAGCCGTCGCGTGGAATGAGTAGTTCTCAGGCACCTCAGGCCACTCCATAGCTCTCTTTCTGCCACGTGAGGATACCAAGAGCAAATGAGAGTCTGCAAGCTGGAAGATGGTGCTCAGCAGACCCTATCATGCTGGTAGCCTGATCTCAGATTTCCAGCTTCCAGAACAGTGAGGAATCCATTTCTTTCCATGGAACTCTGTTACAGTAGTCTGAATTAAGATAAGCACCTGTCAAATCCCTATTCTCTAATATCAAATGTAGATTATGGGAGGAATTTAATATTGCATATAATATGATGTATTTATCTTTTTTTTCAAGATTTTTTTTCTTATTTTTATTTTATTTTTATTTATTTATTTGTTTGACAGGCAGAGTGGACAGTGAGAGAGAGAGGGACAGAGAGAAAGGTCCCCCTTACTGTTGGTTCACCCTCCAATGGCCGCTGCAGCCGGCGCACCGCCGGTGATCCGAAGCCAGGAGCCAGGTACTTCTCCTGGTCTCCCATGGGGTGCAGGGCCCAAGCACTTGGGCCATCCTCCACTGCACTCCCGGGCCACAGCAGAGAGCTGGACTGGAACCGGGACTAGAACCCACAGGCAGAGGATTAGCCTATTGAGCCACGGCGCTGGCCCTGATGTATTTATCTTGATCATTATTTTGGAAGATTCAAGTAATATCTTCAGCCCAAATTTGTTTTATAATTGACATATAACCTTGTGGAACTAAATTTTGCAATGAGGACATTTTTCAACACTTTTAACTCCAATTGAAATATCAAAGGAATTTTTCATAAAAATTTAAACTAAAATTATTCTGGAAAGAATACGTTAGTTATAGTGAACAGAGTATCTCCAGATATTAAAATTTATTGAGCATCTGTGGTAATTAACACATCTAATACTGGAGAAAAACAGGCTGAAAATCTATATAGAAAAGAATATAGCTCAGAAATAAACATAAATACATTTGAGAATCACTAAATGATAAAATGTGACATTTTACATGAGTGGAATGAAAGATTTGTTTGCTTATTATTTTCCCAGATCAAATCTATTGGGACAACTGACTAACCACTTAAAAAAAATAAAAGCTATATCCTTTTTCCACTTGTACAACAGCTTAAATACCAAAGAAACCAAAATTAGAAATCCAAAAAATATAATATAAAATACCAGAAAAATCATTCTTAATGAATTTTTATAATTGGGGTTACTTTTCTAAAGATGATGGAAATCCAGAAGAAATTTTAAAAGGTTGAAAATGTAATAACGTATGAAGGTAAAATGCATAAAAGACAAAAATACTACAAAGCCAAAATATAACTGAAAAACTAATAAATATTTAAATATTTGAAAGATAAAGAACAGATTTTTAATATGTAAGTAATTCATGCACAGTCCCAGTGGTGACCATGGCAGAGTCAGGTTGTTTTTTTTTTGTTTTTTTTTTGTTTTTTTTTTTTTTGACAGGCAGAGTGGACAGTGAGAGAGAGAGACAGAGAGAAAGGTCCTCTGCCGTTGGTTCACCCTCCAATGGCCGCCGCGGCCGGCGCACCACGCTGATCCGATGGCAGGAGCCAGGAGCCAGGTGCTTTTCCTGGTCTCCCATGGGGTGCAGGGCCCAAGCACCTGTGCCATCCTCCACTGCACTCCCTGGCCACAGCAGAGAGCTGGCCTGGAAGAGGGGCAACCGGGACAGAATCCGGCGCCCCGACCGGGACTAGAACCTGGTGTGCCGGCGCCGCTAGGCTGAGGATTAGCCTAGTGAGCGGCGGCGCCGGCGGTGACAGAGTCAGTTTTACTTTCCCAAAAGCATCTACAAAACTAGACAGAATATAGAATACATTAGCCAGAAGATTGCACAGGGATATGAGGGAAGAAAGTGCACAAAATAAGCCATATTTATTATGACTTCTCCCTAGGATTATTCTCTAAATATAGGGGACTAGGGCCTAAAGAAACAGAAGCAGTATCCCAGGGAGTGCCATAGTTGTAAATGGCAAGGAGGTTGGGATTTGGAGGCAAGAGTCTCAGTATGAGCTAACTGTAGAGAGGAATCTCCAAGAATCCATACTGGTGTCCCTTGGGCCCTTGGCCAAATCGTAACCTGTACCTCTGTGGGGTGAAAGTCTAACATCCCTAATAGAAATGAGCTGCTTGTGGATTACTGTTGATTAGTGATAAGAGTGTGAAGTTAGGAACGTTTTATAGTTTCACCCCAGCCAGAATGGGAGGACACTGAGAACACCAGGGAAACTTAGCTGCACGCCCAGAAAGCGAATTTCTAGGGATGATAGTAAAGACTATGCTTAGGATCAGAAAAGCTTAAATATAACCTCCCTTACACAGCCTAAAAGCCCAATGGCATCAAAGTGACCCATCAATAATCTAACTGCCTAAAGGAATAAAATTTATATTCTTGGGAAGATCAGAAATCTAGTCTCTAAGACATATTATTCATAATACCCAGCATCCAAACAAAAATTACATGTGAACAATCAAGAAATAAAGAGAAAAAACAGTGAATAGAATCAGAAATCATTCATTCATATACTAAAGTACAGAAACAAGGCTGGTGAAAACAACTATAATAAGCATATATATTTAATGAACTAAAGGAAAAGATGGATGAAGTGGAAGTATCACATTTGAAGAGACAATTAAAATCCATTAAAATTGCTAAAAGGACAGAATTCAACAAATGGGTTTCACTACACACAGCAAATGACATAATTAGTATCATCAAATACAGTTTTTAAAAAATAACGAAAGTTAAGCATTGAGGCAAGGTGAGTAAAAGAACCCATCCTATGATCCAGCAATTCTACTCTTATCTACCCAGAAGAAAATGTGTAAAATTTCAGTAAGCTTTATAGTGAGGCTTGTGCACCTTACAGTATATATGGATGTCTCAAGAACAATGTAAAAAAGAGTTACAAGTAATCAATAAAATTCTTTTTTTTTTTTTTTTTTGACAGGCAGAGTGAACAGTGAGAGAGAGAGAGACAGAGAGAAAGGTCTTCCTTTTGCCATTGGTTCACCCTCCAATGGCCACCGCGGCCGGCGCACTGCAGCCAGTGCACCATGCTGATCCAATGGCTGGAGCCAGGTGCTTATCCTGGTCTCCCATGGGGTGCAGGGCCCAAGGACTTGGGCCATCCTCCACTGCACTCCCTGGCCACAGCAGAGAGCTGGCCTGGAAGAGGGGCAACCGGGACAGAATCTGGCACCCCGACCAGGACCAGAACCCGGTGTGCCATTGTCGCAAGGTGAAGGATTAGCCTAGTGAGCCATGGCGCCAGCTATCAATAAAATTCTAATAGCCCATTAGAAAATTAGTCAAAGAATATGAAAGAAGAAAAAAATGGTCTTAACTTATGAAAATATATTCAACTGCATTCACTATATTAAAATTAAAGTATCAAAAAAGATACACCAATTTGAGTTAGTTATCACCTTTGCAACCAAAAGTCCTAACAAGTAGTTTTGTGAAAGTATGACTAGACATAGTTATGTATGCGAATGCTCACTTCTGTGTTGTTCATAATAGTAAAATATTGAAAACAACCTAAATATTAATCAGTTGTGAACAGTTAAATAAACCATTGTACTTTGATAAAATGAAACAATATACAACCATTAAAAATAATGATACAGGTATTTTGTAATTTATATAAAAAATATCACCAAGATACTGTGCTGTGGGAAGCGGGTGACTTCCTAACAGCAAGCAGAATACTTTCCCAACTGTATAAATCATTAAAAGGATTTGTGGAATGAGGACGATGGAAGTTATTTTGAGGAATAGAAACTGAGAGTTGTGCACAAAGGAAGCGTAGCACTTTTTATTTATATTTATCTATACTATTTGATGGATTTTTTTTCCTGTGTGCATTTGGTTTTGCTTTTTAATTTGTTTTAATTACATTTTAAAATTACAAAGTGAGAAGGAGGATAGATCTGAATACTAGCTCACATAGAAGCAAAATCCACATTGTTAGGAACCTAAATGACAAAACACATGTCATAAATCACTACAAATAAGATTTCTTAAAGAACTGTGAGATCAAAATAAAGAGCTCTTGATGATTAACATGAGTAATCTTTCACTACGAGTGGCTATGCCAGCATGACATGGAGGTGGGGTGATCTTTTGAGTGGGTACAGTAATTGGAAGTACTTGGATCCAAAATATTTTCAAGCCCCTTCAAATGCAACACACATGTTTGTAGGAATTGAGAAGTTAAAACTAAAACTTAACAATGAACAAAAACTTACATAAACTGTAAGCATTACTTCCTTATATTTTGAAATATTTATTGATTTTATTATCCAATGAATAAAAATAATACTAAAATAAATTCATGGTAATTCTATTTGGACTTTCACTCCTCAAAGCTTTTAACATTGCTTATGATTCATAATGACAAACAGATGAAAATATTCCTTCTCTCTTGGAAAAACAAGATAATTAGGATAATTAAATTTTATAGGACAATTACTGATGCATACCTCAACGCTTATATTTCTAATATTTATTAACAAAGCAATTGAGACTAGAAAGTATTAACTGCATGCCACTTAATGACAGGTTTTAAAAATACAACATGTACAATATAAGTATTTCACTATAAAATTAAATATCATCCAAATTCATTCTTAGTTCCAGGTTTTTTTCTAATAAACATTATTAAAAATACCCTGTCAGAGATCCTCACAAAATGGAACTAAATACCCTATATATTAAACATAATTAATTTTGAAAAATAGACATTTTCACCAGCTTTCTAAAATAAATAAACTTGTATAAAAATAAGTCATTCAATATAAAACACCGTGGAAACCACTTCTTGATGCTCATACAAATACATGAAATAACATTTCAGTTCTATTGGATTTTTGTATCTTAAATTGCTTCTGAAACATTGTGATTAGGTACAGGAGTGCTTTATTGTTTTAGAAAATCGTTATTCAAGAAAGACTAAAATTACTGACTTAGGTAGCTTCCTTTTATAACTAGTTCTTCACATTGCAAGTAACTGTGCTTAAATGTTTTCTCAAATGCAACTGTTTTAATCATCGTAGGGTGGATGATTATACTATCCTTTACTATTTTAAAATTGAGAGTGTATTTCTCAATACTGAATACTAGAGTTTGATAAACTAAGATGACTCTTAAAATATGAGAAGTACAAGAAATTTCTCTTAAAATAAGACTACAGAAAATAATTTAGGAAGAAGTATTTTTCATTCACATCTAAGTGACACAGAACTTTCTGGTTGCATATAATTTAATCCATTAGCATGTTGTCCAACTCTACGTATGAGCCCTGGATGTGCAACTCTCAACAATACTTACAACCTAAAGTTTGTCTTTCTTCAGCTTTTGAGTAATCTCAATATTCCCGAAGGAATGGAACATATGTTTGAAATTTGGAAAGAGGGATTTGGTTTTATTGGAGAAGAATGACAGCAAGTATAAGAATGTCATGCTTAGTGTTATAAAAGCTTATTCTCAGCCCAGAGTCTCCAGTTGGTTTGGAAACGTCATCCATGTTCTTTTAGTACTTGAACACCAGATTTAAAAAGAAAACAGTATCTGTCCCTATTCCTCCGTCAACATGGACCTCATCTCCAAATGGGAAAAAAGGACACCAACAAGAGGCCCCAACTCTGAGTGGTTTTGCATCCACTGTCTTCATCTTTATTCTTAGAGATTTTCAGCTAGGAAATCTATAATCCTGCTAACCCTGACAAAGGATTTCTCTCTAGTCTGTTTAAATTTGAAGCCACAGCTCAAACTGTTCATTTCTGAGTTTCTTTTAGTGAAATTAAAATATACAGAGGTTGAATAGTAACTTTTTTTGCAATTTAATCCTTTTAGTCAAAATTCCACATTTATCAAAAGTTTGAAATCTAAAGTCCATATTTCAGCTCCTCGCTCCTTCAACCTCTTTTTTTTAACAGAAGCTTTGGGAGGAAATGGAGAGTATGTAAATTATAAAACATTCTAAAATTTTCTCTGTATTTTATGAAAAAAAACACTAATATCAGATAATATTCACAAGGCTCCAAAAAAATATATGTCATGAAAGATATCCTCCAAAGTAGAACTTAGAACACTGACAGTAAATATGATCTAAATCTATTTCCCAATGGGTCAACCTATACCAACTCAGCCCTCAGTATGAAGACAGTGCCTTGGAACCTCAGTACTTCTGAAGTGCTTTTGTTGTTGAATTGCTTGTTTTGGGAACTGAAGCCACCCAGGTGGTGAGGAGCTCAGATTAGTATCTCACTACATTGTAACTCAGAACTGCAGCACTACAGCGATCTTCGGACTTCCGAATTTACTCCAGCACACAAGCAGCACGGGGTGTCCTTGGGCAGGTGTCAGGGACTTTGTATCAGTCTCCTTTTGCCTTGTTCTGAGTCACAGATGACAGGAGTATGTTGTGTTTCAGTGGATGTGTTCAGTTCTTAATCGCCAGTTACATCGAGAGTGAGGCAAAAGTTAATTTTTTATCTCTTCTCTATAGCATCTTCAATTAAATACCTATATCCTATAAGCATAAGCTCACAATAACTTTACCAAAATTTCCATACATATAATAATTTGTCTATCTCTAAATCTCTAAAGCCACTTAAAAAGCAATGAAAACTTACTCTCCATTTGTATTGGCATAGAACAAAGGTTTTTCACACCACACTAGTTCAGGAGTTGGCATGGACACTCTAGCTTTTTCTTCTAAGAGGGTCATCAGCTGAGTATGTCAGCTCCTCAGACATCTTAACAACACAGGATGGCTTCAAGAGTTCATGGAACGTGCAGATTCCGAAAAACTATTCAGGGATTTCAAATTTTTTTCACCAAAATAAACATCTCTTAATTCCACTTTTCCATGAGCTTGCTGAAATACTCTCAAACTAATGAAACAGTTTTAATGATTTGAGTGAGAAATGACCATAAAATAAGAAAAAAAAATCAACTGGGGTCTGGGCTCCTCATTGTTGCCTATAATTGCTCAGGTCATATGGCACAATTAGAAGATAAATGGGATGTAGGAATTTGTTTAGGATAACAGTAAAATCAGAATTCTACATGTGAAACTCTAATGCTGTTTAGAAACCCAGAGGCATATTTTTTAACACAAAAATACTCATTTTGAAGATATCAGTAATCTTCAGCTTCTTACTTCTTGTCATTGGACATCCGTGTGTGCCATTTCCTAGCTCACTGCCAATATGCAATCTTTGTGTTTTCTTACCATACCAAAAGCTGAAACAAATAACAAACTTCTGCATTCACTGTTAAGTCCTTAAAGACATGGATGAGATCTAATTCTCACTTATTTCCATCCAGGATTATATTTATACTTAAGAAATTTTATTTGATTACAAGTAAGTATACTTAATGGATTTGTAATATAAGGTAGATATTAAAAACAAGATCATTATTATTAAAATATGTGGACCTAAATATAAATTCTGGTTTCATCACCCAGTAACTCTGTAACCTTGGGCAAATAATGTCCTTGTTATTAAAAGAGGTTTAACAGTAAAGCATGTCCCCACAATGACTGCAGTAATTAGCTGAGGTAAAGTATTAGCACAGTGTTGGTTTATGTAGAGAATGCTCAATGCACGAGGGGGGAAAACAGTGTACGTGCAAATGGGCATGGGAAAGACAATGATTCCAGAGTGATAAACAGTGACGTGCACTCTAACTGTATCAGAAAGTGACAATTTCAGATCTTTTCAAGAGGACTTAAAATTCACATTATGTTTTCAAAATTGCTTCTGTTGTCATTAAGATAATGGTTATGGGTATTACCATTCTAATGGGTGGTGTCACTCTATGAAATGCATCTTAGATTGGGACAACCAGGCTTCACAAGTCGCACTCACTAAACAAGGCTTAAGCTCTCTATTTATCTTCAACACTGAGTGAAGTACTTACTTCAAATCACAGTCTGATAGCGCAAAATACAAACACAACACCTACTTTTAAAATGTACAAGGATACCTATTAGGTGTAAACGTGGGGGGGGGGCATGCGCAAAACAAAGACAATTCATGGCAAAACAAACACCCCTGAAACAACAATTACATCTCACAAATGTCAGTTAGAAGTCTTCTTTCAGGTGTTGATGTAATACAGAAGATTAGCTCTTCCTACACAGATCTACTATTCACAAAAGACAGTATTTCTTGGGCTTATTTATAGCAAGAAACAAAGAGACCTTCCCCCTGTAGCTTGTGAATAAAATTGTTAGAAGAGTCCATCTGCATCAGGAGGTTTATGAAGGCTTCTTCACATTTTTTGTCTGTATGACTGAGGGATGACAGACACCATGAAGTTTGGGACAATCATTTTCAAATTTGACTCTAATGGTTTTCTCTCCCTCATCCACAAGTGCAGAGGAATATATTACACTTCACATAGTCCATTATAACACTACTCAGGTCTCTCTCATGGAATTACAGTTAAGTCACACATCTTGTTTTCCATTATCTTATGAGTTTGAGTGGAACAAGTTTGAAATTGAGGCATGTAAGATACAAAGGTCTTCTTAGCAGATGTTCCTAAGTCGAAATTATTTTCTGCAAATTGTGAGCAGGTGTCCTGGAGGATTCTGACGTCAGTGAATAAACAGTGAGCTGGGAACGGGCACAGCTCTCCTGATTCGTCAGTCAAAAACACACCACTCTCTCTTTTTTTGATTGAGGTAACACCCAAATAATAGACAGACTTTTCACAATTATTTTCTTCGGGGAAACTTCCCTCCAGGTTCAAAAGTTTGTCCAATCCTTCTGAGAACGTAAGATGTGGTGAAATTATGTTGGGGTGTTGATCTGATAATAAGAGAAATGCTTGGGACTCTATCTGCCATGAGTTATTAGGGAGAGAATCTTTCAGCGGAGAATTTTTGCTAGAGAAGCACTTGCTCACTGAACTGTTGATCAGCTCTCGCTCGTCGCTGGTGTCACTTGATTTTGAGCTGCTGACCAGTGTGGCGTATTTCACGGAGGGCTGTCCCTGGCTTTCATCCTCACAGGTTACCTGGGAGCTCTCCACCTCTGAGAAGTTAGCACTGTTGCCTTGCTCACCAATACAAATAGAATCCTTTTCAAAATCTGGAGATGGCAAAAGCAGTGAGACCGTAGCTGCGGGCACCACCTCATCTCTGTTCTTCCATGATGTGTCAACACTGATATCTTCGGAAATGGTTTCAGGCTCCAAAAGAAGAGGGCCAAATGTCACTGACGCGGCATGCTTGGTAAAAAGATGCTCAAACGTTTCTGGCTAAAAGAAAAGACACGCATTTTAAGGTTCAATTGTATTAAAATGGATGCTTCTTTATATCATACTTGAAGACGTGGAGGTCTGTCAGGTCAATAATGAAAGACAGGAGTCAACCAGAAGTACCTCATTTTGGACTGAGCCAGGTATCACAAACATCACAGGGGAGAGGCAGCTAAGATAATATTTAAAAGGGGGACAAGAGAGACTTATTAGACTTGAGTTCTATTCTATGACCATGAACAGGTGCATAAAACTCTTTCTTTCAGTGTCTCCATCTTTAAAAATGTTCTCAAATTTTCCTTCATGGTGTTGCGCTAGAAATAAATGAAATAGTGGCTGAGAGTGCTAATTTCTCAACAAAGATTGGCTGCTATAATTGGAAAATGGGGTCTTATAAAGAATTTCTAATATTTTATAGTAAATTACATTTCTACAAACTGAAAATGTAAGCCTCAAATTTAAAAAGTACATCGAAACAAAATCCGTTAATCAAAACAACTTTTTCAAGGATGGTTACAATAGCTTTTTATGTTATATAATATAGTATGAAGGCAGAAAAAAACTGTGATTAGGGGCAGGGCTTTGGAGTAGCAGGTAAGGCCGCTGCTGGTTCTAGTCCCAGCTGCTCCACTTCCAATCCAGCTCTTTGCCATGACCTGGAAAGCAGTGGAGAATGGCCCAAGTTCTTGGGACCCTGCCACCACGTGGGAGATCCGGAGGAAGCTCCCAGCTCCTGGCTTGAAGATCAGCACAGCTCTGGCCGTTGTGGGCATTTGGGGAGTGAACCAGTGGATGGAAGACCTATTTCTCTCTACCTCTCTGTAATTCCACCTTTCAAATAAAATAAATAAAGCTTAAAAAAAGAAATTTGTGATTAGTAAGAACGTATCTACCTAATGTCATACTGAGACTCTTCTTGGGACTACCTAAAAATAAGAATCATCCTTATCTGTCAGAAACAATGGGGGTGAAAGAGGTGATCACAGACTTGTAAACTACTATTCTTTATGAATAACTTCATATGAAAATATATACTATAGGACACGTGAAATAAGACAAATACACAGGACAAATGCACATCATGTTTTTTATAGAAACAATGGTTACATCACAACAAAAGTTTTGCCAAGCATCTACAAATCAAGAATCTACGTGCAAAAAGCCCAATTCATACAATGTAAACACAATGAAAAAATGAATATAAAAAAAATTCTGTAGATACATCATGTTGAAAAATTAATACAACTAAATTTAGTGCTATAGAAAATGTGTTCAGTTTATATGTCATATATGTATTTTAACTTTTGAATCTTATAATTTTTAAGCTAATGGAATAAATTCAAATCTACTGCCTGAAATAATGGAATACTCAACTGTTCTTAATAATAGCAAGTATATTCCATATAAGACTACAATTTATTTAGCACAGGTAAAACTTTTAAATGAAATATATTAGTGACTGAAACCATAAAAGAATAAATATATCAAACACTAAGTATAAAAATGAAATAGACTTACATAGATATTAAAATACTGTATAATGACAAATATTGTGTTAATACAATTTTTCTTGTTATTCTATGAATATAACATTTTAAGAGGAAGAGTTTCTATTTCTATTTTCTTTCTGGCAGAAATCCATACATTTATGATTTTCTTCAAATATTTGCTTGGTCTATTTTGTCTGTTCTTAACATTTCTATGATGCATTCATTGAATGGTCTTAAAATTTAAATGGACCTAGAAATTCAGATCACTAAATAAAGGAATCAGATGCTATCAAAATGGAAACAAAAATATGTAGAAGTAACTGATAGCATGTAGTCCAGCTCACAGAGGATCTTCAGATGACGCGTATGGTAGGGATCATACTTTGAAAGACTTCATAACAGGAAGCTAATCCTTGAAATCAAGTAGCGTAAATGTCTACAAATACAGACAGAAGATTCTACTAATAATAGGAAATATCCATATATTATTAAGATATATTTTATCAATGGGTCACAAAACTTTTAGCTTTGTTTATTAGAAAACTATTTCATTCCATGCATCTCATTATTTTGGAGATTTTACAACAGCCTGGGCACATATTAAATATGTATTCATCTGGAAGGAATTAAGTAACTTCTCACAATTCCACTCTTAGATTTACTTTCCAGTGACATCTGTTAATAATCAATGAAAAGGAAAAAGGCACATTCTTCCTATTCTCTAGTTTTTTTTAATATTCAACTGAAACTTTGAATAAAATTTAAATATAAGTGACCTACACATATATATCCTAAATTTAAATATTATTTAGGTTCATCAAACAGAGGCTTTGTTTTAGCCTGAATGTGAACAATACAACACACTTCATATGCTAAATTTATGGAACTAGCAAGTGGTCTTTTTTCAACTAGGAAAAGTTCTGTCCTTACCATGAACTACTTATAAAAGTGCCAAAGAGTCTCCCTTTCTTGTATCACTGCCTACTTCCCTGCCAGCCAGAAGTCCTAGGTAGTTCGGTGGAAATAAATAGACTTAGGCAAGAATTTCACAAGAGGTTGGGCTGGATGCTAGTGTTCTTTTCTGAACGGGGCAATCTGACCTGGATATGTTGGATCATACTGATAGGAACTGTAATTTCTACTGGCCTGTGACAAGCACAGACCACAACTTATGGCTTTCTTTGAACTGAAATGGGAGTTTGCACAAAAGCCACTTCAAGGTTATTGAAAGCTAAAATTCTCAGGTCGACCAAAGTTAGACATAAAAGCTTTAAGGTATTCAAAATAACACCCAAAATTAGACATTAAAAATAAAAACTAAATATTTCCACTGCTTTCTATACTTAAGAGTGACTGTATTTGCAAAGTTCTGTGCTAGAAACTGTAGATTTAGCATTCATTTAGTTACATCACTGGCTACTAAATATTTGATATCTAATATGTAATGACACAATAAGTATAATATTTTAATGTTTTATGACCAGGAAAATGATAAATCAAAAGCCAAAAATCATGAATATTACTTTCAAACTTTAAATGACCTGAAAAGTAATCATACATCCAAAATGAACTGGACTTAAACCTGTATCTTGACCCAAAATTTACACATTTATTTTGTTCTAAATCAACATAATCCACCATATATTAGTTCTCAACAGTTCAACCAAAATGTTTTAGATTTTCTCCCCATCTTCAAAATGTAAAAATCTTCTAATACTCTATAGACTGTTGAGAAGTTGATACATTGGGTTCATCTGCAGTGATCATGATTAGACTTCAAAGAATGTCCGTTCTCTGTTTAGATAAAATAAATAAGAAAGCAAAACAAAAAATCACTCAAAAAGCCAGTTAAAAGATTTCAAAACATTTTCTGTCAGGCTTGGGCTCTGGACTATAAATTCTTACGTTACATGATAGTAACACATCCTTCTGGGAAAGGGTACCATTTGAACCAATAGCATCTCCCATGTTTTAAATCAAGGGTTTAATATCACACTCTGATAGTTCTGATTACCTCAAGAAATAGTAAACTACAGATGAATGGCAGGATAGGCACAGGGAGAGGAAAACAAGGAGCTGGGAAAATTAGAAGAGGGAGGAACCAGCAGTGTTAGTAGAGAGTTTGCAACAAGAAAAAATAAAAGTTGAGAGAAATGAAAGAAAAATTAAAAGAGAGAAGAATTGAAATAGCAAAGAACAGGATCACAAGACCATTATCATGGATTCTTTTCATATAGAGAAAAGATCTAAGAAGTCAACTGGTCCAAGTCTCGGTCCCTCCCTTTTTCAGACAAAATAAAGTGATCAGCTTAAAGTTATGCACCTAATCACAGCAGGATGAGGACCCTGACTTAGTCCCCCTTTTCCTAGTCCAACAGTCTTTCCCTAACACAGTGGAGGGTGAAAAACAGGAAGAAGAACTTGTTCTTTACTTTGCTTGTTCTACTTGCTGTGATAGTTAACAGATTAATTGATACTATCTCCTGATTCTCTATAAGCTGAGGGTTATATAGGACAAGAAGATAAAGAAAACAAATCACATTTTAAGAGAATGAAATACACTCTTGTAGGCCAGTAACATGCACTTCCAGGCATAAGGGGTAAGACTGCTTCTAAAGAGAACTTCTAACTGTAACATATTCCAGCTCTTCCAGACAGACACCTGCAGATCCATTCTAGCAATTTCAGGGATGCTTCTGCCTCGGGTCTGTGAGGAGGATGTTCTTGGAATCCATGGATTGTTGATCTGCTTCCCTTGAGACACAGGGCAGGCTAAGGAATCTAGGGGAGTCTTTAAGGAAAAACCCATTTGGTTTTAACTTCAGCCCTCCTAAAGTAAGTTAGGTGGAATATACTCTTGTGAAAACTGACATAAAAGGAGCAGGCTTGAACAACAACAACAACAAAAATATAAATGATGAGAAAAATACTGTAAAATAAAGAAAAAGAAGTTAATGAAAGGGAAATGAATGAAAAGTGAACCAAAAAAGGCTTAATAAACAGAAAAAAATCAGATGTTCGTATTCGGAAGAAAAAAATAACAGGTTAGGCAAAAAATGCCGAAGAGAAAAAATGTACAAAACAAATGAAGAAAGGTTATAGTCTTCTACAGTGTGAAATTTGAATTTGTTAGAATGAAAGTATGTGAACAAATCAAATCAGGCCCTCAAAAAAGTATGATCTGAGAGAGCTTCTAGAAAACGAGTGATCTAAATTCATTTCTGAAAGACAGAAAACAACAAGTAGGGTTCAGAGGAAAACGAGCAACAGAAGCTGAAGGCGGTGGCAGCTGTCTCAAGACAGGGCTGGTTAAGCCTGCTGAACGCAGTGGAGACAGTGGTGCAGAAACAGCCAGTGACCACAAGCAAGCAAGAAACCTGAAGCAGAAAACTGGAGCCCAGCGCCAGTTCTGCATATGGGGTGTGGCTCTCCTACTCTTCTGCCCAACAAGGAGGCAGCTTGGTGTAAGAACCACCTCCACACCCCAGCTGAGGACTTGTTCTCAAAAGC